GCCCACTACAGGGAAAGCACGTACGAGCAGTAGGGAAGAAAAAGGAGTATAAAATAAGTACGGTAGTCACTTCAAGTTACCTCAATCTGAGTGGCGTTAGAGTGGAAGGATTGAGATGCCCGGTGGTGTCATGCCGAGCGATGTGGGGGGGAAGATGGTGACGCCATTATATTAATGCTCTAATCATCTTCTTCCGTAATTATTGCCAATGTGTGTATTGTCTCTCAAGTACCCATAGCCGCCTCCCAGTGGAAGATGCTTTCCTCCTTTTTTCCCGTATAAGTCCAAGGCAACTTCACCTTCATCTTTTGCCTGGATTCCTCCGCTTCACCGTCTTTCTCCTTCTTTCCTTTTCTGTCGCCGTCATCACCATCATCGCCTCCATCTCCTCCCCCACCACCAATCTTCAATTGTTTAATCACGGGGGGGTCTCTAAGTCTCTGGCAGAGAGCTTCATCTAACTGTTCCACATAATCGTGGACTCGCAAGTCAATCTGCGGCGAGGCATTATTCAGAAAGTTATTCCAAGTATCAACGAATTCTCCCTGTTGCGCCTCTACTTTGGTTACGGTCTGATGAAGTACAACGAGTTGTTCATTGGTATGGAGGAGGGTGTCAGTGAGGAGGGTAAGTCTTTCTTCTATTGAAACTTGTTTCCCTTTCTGCTCCTACAACATCTGCCGCAATCTGCTCCTACAACATCTGCTGCAATCTCTCCCCTTCCTCTTTCATTTCTTCTTCTCATCAAACTTTTTTCTCCTTTCTAGCAGCATGCGATTATGCAAGCTTGCTCTCTTCTCTTCCACCAACAACCATTTCTCTGCCTCATTCTTCACTTCAGACAACAGTTTGAGGAAAGCTTCCTTCTCTTCCTCACTCTCTGCTCGCAGCTCCTCCCAAAATACAAACTGGCCTAGCCAGTCCATTGCCTCCAACTGGCGCATCCGTATGCCACCCATTTGACTGCTCTCGGCCTGCTCCGCCCGTGGTTGACCTCTCCTTCTTTCCAATCTTTCTCCCACATCTTCTTCTTCTTCTTCTTCTTCTTCTTTTTCTTTTTTTAATTCTTCCATCAACTTCTTCTCCTTCTCCTTCATCTCCTTCTCCAACTTCTCTTTTTCTTCTTGCAACTTCTTCTTCACTTCCTCCTCCTTTTTCTTTATCTTTTCCTCCTTTTCTTTCTTCTTTTCTGCTAGGCGGCGATGTACGTCAGCCTGCTCTTCAGTTGTTTGGGCCTGTGTTGACTTCCCAGACCTCAGCACAACATGTGAAAAGAGGGTTCTCTGGAACCCAAGAGGAAAGACAAAACGAAGGAGGGGTCCCCATAGCACTGACAGCGACAGAAGTGCGAACATAGGATAGTCATCCGTGGTGATCAAAGGCACAGGTAACGGCATCCACCTCCTCACCACTTAGATCTAACTCCCTACTACTAACTACTAACTCAGGAGTGGGTCTGACTGTTGCTGACTGCTGATTACCTAATACGTATACGGTTTTTTTTTTTCTTTTCTTTTCTTATTATGATTGGACTGGTTACTATACTCAACTATATCACGAGATTCGGTCCAGCCCAGCAGCAGTGACAATAGGATGAGGAAGGTACCAAACACCAAGACAGATCAGCAAGCAATACAGGTTAAATGGGGGGATGCACTTCACTCCAATGAACGTTCCGTTGATGAAGCTCCACGGCCGCTCCAACACTCCAACACTCCAACGCAGCAGCAATCAGGTACATAATCACCACTCAACAGGCCCCTTCTTCCTCGGCCTTCTTCT